GACGAGAGAGAGAGAGAGAGAGAGAGAGAGAGAGAGAGAATTACTTTCAAATGGCTCCTCTGGTTGAAGAGAAGGGTTCCTCTCCCTCTGATTCCTTCCTGGCTGTCACTGCCATTTCCACTATCATTAGATGGTCTGGGGGCTGGGACAGGAATGAATGAATGGGGATATTCTATACTTTCTCTGGCCCATAGGGACTATTTTCCCCATTCTGCAGGCCAGACATTCCTCAGGCTTGTTTTGGAGATGCCTTGCATCCTGTTTCTACTTCTGGGTTTCTGGTAGTCTCTGAGACTTAGCCACGAGGTACCAGAGGAAAGAAAATGGAAAACTCGCTACCAGCCTGGTAATGTTTTAAATTCCCAGAATTCAGCAAATGGACTCTCCCATTTGTTTTGAGAGTCCTCAGGGAGCTGCTCCATGGCTCTTAGCTGCATTCAGTGGGCAATAGAGGGTAGAATATCCTGTACTTGACAGAGCCAAAATGACACCAGCTTGTATTCTCTGCAAACACTTATCAATACCTAATATTTCTTGTTCATTTATTTGTTTGCCTGTTGTCTCCCACCTTGGCCCTCTCTTCAGATGTGGGCTTCAGGGGAGCTCTAACTCTGTCCTTGTGGTGGACCAGAGCCAGAGCAATTTTGATTGCTGCCTGGCACACAGAGGATACTCAGTGGACATTTTTCAGTGAAATCTACACTCTCAGTCACAAAGACTTTGGAGTCAACTACTTATTTTTTTTAATTCCTTTTCCTCAAATTCTACCTTCACCAAATTGTTTTACATATTGTTCAGAAACAATTTACAGGTTGCCTGACACATAAGGGTTAGGGCAGAAGAAAGCCAGAAGTACTTGGGGGAAAGAATAGACAGCTGTATCCCTTAGGATTCTTTCAATAGCAAGTGTTAGAAAAACCATTCCAACTGCCTTTAACAATGAAGAAAACTTAGTACCTTGAGTAAGTGAGAAGCTCAGAGGTAATATTGGCTTCTGGTAGATTATACAGTGACTCACACAGTGCTGCCAAGGTCTGGTGAAGTTACATGGATGGAAGGAACACCATATTCCACGACAAAAGCTTCCCACTGTAGACAGCAGAGGCTAGCCCTTCCTCTCTGTGCCTCACTGGCTCAGCTTATGGTTAGCCACAGCAAGATGGCAAGCATTATCTCTGCACATCAGTCACTTCACCTCTGAGCCAGGGTGGACCAAGTACACAGGGACAGGCTCAGAAGGAGGCTGTGCTTAGTGTTATGTTTGTGACTACCAGGCAGAACTGAGCCTGGATCATCACATCCATGACAGTCAGGGCCAGCACAGTGCCCTTCTGAGGCCAAAAGACAGATGCCAGGAGAGAGGGAGGACTCCACAGAGAATGGGTCTTCCAGAGATGCCTGCCTGGAAAAGAGCTCAGAAAGCTGGGAGCCATGTTCGACTTCACAAAAGGACAAAGTTCTGCAGTTAATCTTTGCTGGCAAAGTTAAGACACCAGCGAGTAGAGTAAGGGTCAATCTGCCTCACACAGGATGAGAAATGAACTAAGTAATAGACACGCTGTCAAGGTCCTGAGCGTGAGCTGCATTCCATTAATGATTTCCGTTTCATACTGCTGCCTACACGCCCTAATTCAGTGTCAGTCATCGCTGAGTCAGATGTTCTAGGCCTCTGCTGTCTCACCAGTGTGGCAGTTCAGCTCCACACTTGCCATTTCCTTATCCCTGTACCCATCCCTCCTACCCAAGTATCAGGAGCTCAGAGAAGTGTGGATTTTGCGAGATGCAGTGCTATCAAAGTCATGTGTTCCTAAGGTGCAGAATGTGGGTATGGGAGTTTAGACAGTGAGGGAGTCATCCAAAAATTTATCTGCATTTAGCCATCCCAATGTCAGCGCAGGTTGGAGGCAAGTGTGGTAAGGAAGGAATGCCTGTATTTGCACTGGGCTGTCACACACATCCTCTATTTGACCAGAGCCAAATCAGAGTTTGAGGAAAAGGAATTAAAAAAACCAAACAGGTAAGTAGTTATCTCCAAAGTCTTTGTGACTGAGAGGGTCGATTCAATCATTAAAAAATGTTCAATGAGTGTCCTCTGTGTGCCTGGCAGCACTCAAGATGGTGTTGGCTATGATCCACCATAAGAATAGATATAGCTCCCCTGAAGCCCACATCTAAGGGAAGTCCAGGGTGGGGAGACAACTGGCAAATGAATAAATGGATGAGAAGCATCAGGTATTGATTAAGTGTTTGCAGACAATAAAAACTGGTATCGTTTTGGCTCTGATCAAATAAAGGACACTCATATCACAGCCATAGTATTGCTGGAATTTAAATATACCAACGATAAGACTCAATGATAGGCTAAACTACCCATTCCCTTCCTTTGCAGTTGTTCTGTGTGATTACTGTGCACCTCAAGCACTGTTAAAAGGACACAGCATGTCAGGGGTCCCACTGCAGCCTCCAAGCCTATGGTCTGGAGCATAGCAGCTACTCACACACACCAGGCAGAATGAATGGACAAAATTACAGGCCCGAGATGCACAGTGCCCTAAGGAAGTAGGGTTCTGCCTCTGCCTTTGTTTTGAGGAAACACACAGCAGTGAGGCGACAGCCAGCTCAGATTACCTCCCTGCCCTGAGAACACCTCCGGACTTGGAATACTTTATATAAGAGGAAGTGCAGCCGGTCCCAAGCAAAGAATTTCCTATCCTGCTGCAAATCAACCAAGCCCTTTGTTGGCAGATGACACATGGGGCCTCTTTAAGCCAATGGGTTTCCCGGATGCTACTGGGGTAGCAAGGCAAAGCTGCTCTATTTGTAGTGGTATTAGAGATTTCAACTGGTCCCATGTGCATTTGTCCTGGCCTCAAACATGAGGCCACAAAATCACTGAAGCCTGAAATTGTGCCAGCTCTTTACCCCTTAGCCATCCATCCAAAGCACCCAGGCAAGGGAACTGCCATGATTTCACCTCCGGGACACCTGAGGGATAAGGCGCTCAACCAATGATGAAAGGCTGGGAGCTGGGTACAAATAGGTTTAGTTTGCATGGTTCTAATGCTGGGCGCCTCCCTGGCCTCATAGGCAGGCCCCACATTGATGGGCACTGTGTGCACATAACACGCACAGCCCTGCTGGGTGCCTAGCCCGCTGCTCTCCTGCGATGACTCTCAGGATTAATCTCCGTGTGTGGCTAAGTCACACTCCTTGACACAGATGCCCCAGGACTTGTTTCCAGGATGTTTTTGGCTCCTTGACAACCCCTTCCTGTTTTGGAAGCTAAAAAGTGGCATTTAAAAAGTCAGAGAGGTTTTGCTGAAAAAACAAGATCTTGCTGACAGGGGAGAAGGCAGTCTGTCAGTGGCAGCGATGCTCTCACACTGGGGGGCTGTCCCCCCGTCTGGCTAGCTTCCTAGCCAGCATCACCAAAGCTGTTTACTTTCCTGTTCTTGCACTTTTCTCATGTGTCAGAAATTATGAAGTCCACAGTGGTCAATTCATGACACATTTTCACATGAACACAGAAGACAGCTTGAAAACACATTCTACAGACACCTCTCTCTTCCTTCATGCTCTACATTCAATGGAAGGACTTCCCAGCACTCGCTTTCATCCAAAGCACCCCACCCCTGGCTTCATGCCAAGAATAAGCTAAATAGTTAAAAAAGTAAAAATGAAAAGGTGAAACTTAAGAATGAAAAATTCTGCAGAAAAACAATTTTCACTGTGGGAAAGACAAGGTCTCATGTCCTTCAAAAACAGGGCTTCAGGGAACTAAGAGGAGGCAACTCGATGGCAGAGGAGGAACAAGTCCCACCACATCTGAAAAGGCAGAAACCCTCTCCAGGGGCAGAAGCTCAGGAGTCTGTGGCCCTGGGAAGGAGAGCTACCATCTAGGAAGTGTGCCCTGAGGCTGCTGTGTGATCAGTCTCTCATGTCACTGGGGGTAGAATGGAATGCACAAGGAGAGGACCTATATCTTGGAGATATAGTGAAATTTCTTTTCCAAGGCCAAGTTTTCATTTGTTATAATCTTAGCTGGGAATCGTTTCATACCATGTTAACTTCTGAGATTAAGGACTGCTATGGTTTGGCTATATTTAAGTGTGTCCCCACCTAATTTTGTGTGCTGGAAGCAAGGTGTATCATTGATATATTAGCTAGGCCACTTACTAGCTCTGACCTTAGGCAAATTACTTAGCCTGTCTGAACTGTTTCTTCAGCAGCAATATGGAAAAAAACTGTACCTATTTCCAATAGTAGTTGTGAAGACTACCAAGCTAATCCAGAACACTGCCAGACACACAGAAGGCACTCCATTTTGCCAGCTACTGCTATTTATTATTAGCCAAGTTAACTGACAAGCCTGCCAGGAACCTAGTAGGCGCTTGAGCAATGCCAGATGCTACTACTGGCTAACAGTAAAGACCTGGGACATTTTTCAGCAGTTAAAATTTTATTTGAAATTCAAGGAGACCTGATTAGCTCATCTCTGTTCTCTGAAAGGGCAAGTCAACTGCACACTTCAATGCCACCAAGTTGGTTTGGCTTGTTTTGATAGAGCACTTATTATATTGATTTGAAAACACAAAGACTTTTGTATCTAATTAGTGTAAATCACATTCAAATTAAGCAGTTAATAATAATTTCTCACATAAGATAAACATTATTAGCAACACTTGTAAATTCATATATCCTGGATACTAAATTCTTATCAGCTATATTATTACTTGGAAATATCTTTTCTCAGTCTGTGGATTGTCTTTTTATTTTCTTGAATAATCATATATTTAGCTTTTGATAAAATCTTGCTTCCATAGAAATCTGTATCTTCAACTTAATAAGTAGTTTTTGAAAAAAATTCTCTTCAAATTTAGATATAACAGTAATATAAAAATTTATTTTAATGTTTTAAAACATACCAAAATTACTGGATATATCTTAAAAATATAATCTGTAGAAGAAAATCCAGATGTAAGGTACAACAAGCCAGTTTCTTTTGGTTCTGTCATTTGATTCAAGTCATCACGGGGGCTCACAAGATCTAGTGGGAAGCTGGGGGCCAAGGCTGCCACTATCCAGCCAAATTCTTTCTTATTTCACCTAAAAAGTCATAGGTCTGCTCTGAAAGGTCAAAAGGCTCATGGACTCCATCTGGCGACAACAGAGCTTGCAGGGCACCCTCATTCTCTTGGTTTTGCCTGAGGAAGTCAGCGATGACTTTCCATCGAGCAGCCTCGGTCTCTTCTTCGGCCCACCTGAATGGGGGCAAGAGTGTAGAATGCAGAAGCGGGAGCACACAGTCATGGTAGACCAGGAGAAACTTGGCCTTCAGGAGCTCTTTGTCTCTCTGGGAAAATGCCACACCACAAAGAACTGTGAATGAACCTACATCATTATATTTAAAGTATGAAATCGTATAAATATTGTTGGCTAAAAAGTCACCTAAGGTATGGAATGGAGGACCCCTTAGTGCCTGGCAGGTAGTAGACTCTAAGCCAGCCTCTCGGCGGACACAGCCTCTCAGGGTTGAAGCAACAGTCAGCATGGAGTAGAGCTGAGCCATTCTCTCTAAGAGTCTCTAAGTAGCTCCTTGAGACCAGGATGTCTCCTAAACTCCACTGAATGTCACACATTCTATCAAGGATACCAGGGTGTTACAGTCTAATTCTGGTGACCAGGGTATGATTTTAGGTAAATATAACTAAAACACACTGCAGGCCAATTGTGTCTACATAGCTTGATTACAGTCTGTCAGAGATAACTGTCATGTTGTTACAAAGAGGGCCTTCAGGCATTCTGCATGAGTTCCAGAGAAAGAAATTTTTAGCCTATTTCTAGCAATGCCAGGGTGGGGTGTGGGTGTCCTTTAGTCCTGAGGGGGTCAGAGCCTCTCCAGATAACAAGATTGGTACAATATCAACAGGATCCACCAAACCTTGATGCCAACAGGCTGAGGTGGGGGTAGAAGGCATGGCAGACTGAGGGTGGAAGTTCTATACACAGCAGGCTCTACACACAGATAACACCCTAGCCACACCATTTGCATGGGAAATTTCTACAGGCCTGAGGCCCAGTACCTTGCCCACTGCTTTACTAGAACAGCACAGAACCTGCAGATTTGGGCAAAGGTCATGTGTCATGGGTCAAATGGAGCTCAGATAAGGATACATCTATAACTTTCTCCCATTTTTAGGGTTTTTAGTTTTTGTTTTCCTATGTTCCTTGTAAATAATCAACACTTTAAATCATGAATTGGCAAACTATGGACTGTGGACCAAAGGTAGCCCACTGCATCATCAGTGGTTACATATGCACTGTGGCTGTTTTTGCATCACAACCGCAGAGCTGAGCAGTTTTAACAGGAACCATAGGGCCTGCAAAGCCTAAAATAGTTATTTTCTGGCACTTTGCAGAAAAAAGTCTGCTGAATCCTAGATTAGAGCAGTCAAACCACTGCTCACTGACCAATGTGGATTCTGCCTGGTGATTACCAGTTCTATGGCAAAACATAAGTAAGAGCCAGACATTTCATTAAAAAAACCAGACAATTCATACTGAGCAGATCGTTTCTTCTTCCTTCTCTTTACTTGGTATGTCTGTTGAGAGGTGGAGGAATATTTTTTAAGTAAGGGACATTTGATAAGGGAGGCTTTGGTTTAGAAACTCCCCCTTCATTTAGGCCACGAATGACTGTCCTGGTCAAGAGTTCCCTTCACATCAGGAAATGATCACACATAACCCTTCTTGGAATGTGTCTTTGCAATGAAAATGACATAATCTACCTGTTTAAGAGGGATTACAGCTATGGCTACTTTAGGTAAAAAGAGGCATTACTAGAATGTGCAAGTGTTCAGGTCAGTGTGGAAAATCAAATTACCTTCTCTGATCTTTTCAGTGTGCTTTCTTTCTCAGCCCATGCACTCTGAAAAAGCAAACAGAAATATTATATTAGTCAGAGTATTCACAAGTCTTTGAAACACTTCTGCAGTTTTATTCTGTAATTAAACTTATGGGTAGGGTTAGAAAAACTGCAAAGAATCTACACAAGTACCAAGTCACTGTAATCTGTTGCTGACAACCCAGAACCAGCTCAACTGGGCAGATGCACCTGCAAAAGACAGCTCAGAAGACCAGAGTTATTATAAGCCAAAACTAATTTAAGAAGAGAGTCAGTGAAACTAATATATCTATGTCCTCTGAACAGACACAGCACCTGAACAATGAAATAGTCAAGTCTCTAAGGTAAGAAGCAACAAAACTAGAAAACACTGCCAAATACCATAGTTGACAACAATTCTGCCTGCCACAATGACGACAATGGATGGAATGAGATAGACTGAAGTCATTTTCCAAGTAAATATTTCTCATCTATCCACAGGTTCACAAAACCTTCTTCAAAGAAATAAAAAACCTGCAGAGGTATGAATTGAAGACTTTCACAGTGCCAGTACCTGGCAGACTGTAAGTCTGAACATGACCAGTCTTGGCTGCCTGTTCCAGGGCCTGAGTTTTGTGACCGTTTATAGTATCCTACTTTTGGTGCTTAATTTCATGAGTAATCTGAAAGTGTCAAACCTTTCTTGGTAAGGAGGCCCTGAGTACATAGGGAAATGTGGTGCCAAGACAGAGATTCTCCATGTGATACAGGACACACTGAAGGGTTGCTTCTCACCAGATCACAGACGGTGCCATCCATGAGAAAGTTGTAGAAGATGCATATTTATTTCCACCCCATGACCCCACCATGTTAACTATAACTATTGCTGGAGGTCCTTCAGAGCTTGGAAAGGACCCTTTGAGAGCTAGAGTGCTTTACTAAATAGGCCACATGTCATTATTATTATAAAAACACCAACCACAAACTCATCTTAGCTAAGAAAATCTAGGAGGCTCACTTACTTCATAATGTAAAATTTAAAGGACAATATAGGGCTGGCAGAGTGACTCAAGCAGTAAGAGCGCCTGCTTAGCAGGTATGAGACCCTGAGTTCAAACCCCAGTACCACAAAAAAAAAAAAAAGAATTTTTTAAACAAAAGGATAATATAGCTTAATGTAAATATTACTTAGTGACTTTATTGTCTGGTAAAATTTGCATCTTGCTTGTTAGATAAATGTGAAGATCCCACCCTATCTTTCATCAAATCAGCAACAAGCAGCAGGATGTTTCACATGGAGTAATTTTGTGGGGATAGAAAATGGGTGTGGGTTGTTACTACCACACCAAAATGTGCTTCTTCCTTCTGGAACAAACAGAAACCTATACCTCCCAGCTCCCTTCAAGTTAAGGGACAGTGAATGTGAGCAGAAGTGGCCCAGGCCCTTTAGGGCAAAAGCAGCGAAAACCCCAAGGGCAATTCTCCATTCTCTCTTTTCCTGCCAGGTCAAATGTCAACAGAGGAAGCTACTTGTTCCAGATGATGCTATGAACAGTGGGGCCTCTGCCAGCCTGAACTTTTGGGTGACCATGGAGAGGGTCTTCCTCTGACTCATGCTAGATGGATACTGTGAGTGAGAAACAAACTCATGCTAGCCACTCCAGCACAGCCTACATATCCTAAGCCATTCAGTAGGCTATCAAGAGAAGGCTCAAGAGCATAGGAGTAACCACTCTTTTTGATTTTTAATATTATATAAATTCATTGGGGAAAATTAGGAAAATACAGATAAAATAACCCAGAATCCAGAGATAATCACTGATACCTCCTAGAGTATATTCTTCCTAATCTTCTCCAGGCAGACAAGTGAAAAAAAAAACCCTAACAGTTTCACTTAGTAATGAATACAAACAACTTTCCTCAAACCTTTCTTGAACAGTTTGTGGCATATCTGGATGCCCCTAAGCTGATGTAGAATGACAGCCCTGACTTGGCCATTCTTGAGCTTCATGGTCAATCAGGTCACTGCCCATCTCTGAGCCATCATGACAGCAGGCACCCCATTTGCTCATTGGTCAGGAAAGCAGCCTTAGGAAGTTAACATTCATACTAAGATCGGAAGGGTTAGGCCGAGTTAGCTAGACAATGGACAGGGACTAGGAGATACCATCCTACTGAGAAAAAGAGCCTAGAGCAGACGACAAAACTCAATGCAGTGCAATGTGTTTAACCACTCTGGGAGCCCAGCAGGTTTCCATCATGGTGTGTGCTACCCACCCTGAGAGCATCCATCAAATCAGACTGCTCCAAAAGCTTGGGAAAGGTGGCCAGCACTGGATGACTAATTAAATCTGAAATACACAAGAACAGGAAGAATTTTATGTGAACTCCACTCATGTTTTTGCACTAAATACCAAAATATTCATTCAGATTAAAACTATCATGTCAAATTATGTGCTAATACACCTTGTGCATACTTTAATATCCATGAGAGCTCAAAGCTCTCTTCAACCTCCATTTGTCCCTACACCTTACCCCAGGGAGTTCTGAAACAAGTCTTCTACCAAACAGATGAAGCTTTTAGGGTGAGGGGTCAAGTGGAGAGAGACGAGAACATTTAGTTCTTCCTATGAATTCTATCATATTTCCATCTCTTCCTCCTGACATTTGTTAGTGAACCTTCCAATTAGGAGGAGCCCTGCTCTTGAAGGCTCAGTAGGACTAGGCAGCACCGGGGGAAGGAGGCAGATGCAGGCTGCTCAGGTCTGATTTTAGTTCACCAGCACTCAGGGAAGAACCCTAGAGCCAGGTACATGAAGCTGGAAGGGATCAGGAACTGGGATTCTGTGTAGGAAGGTATTGATATTCTGCAACAAATTACAGCACATGAAAGCCCTCGCACCAGCAACGATGTATCAGTCTGTTGTGCTGCAGTACTAGAATAACTAAGCCTGCATAATTTGAAATGTACATTGCATAGTTCTGGAAGTGGGGAAGTCTAATTAAGGTTCCAGCATTTGGTGTCTGGTGGGGACTGTCATACTGTGTCCTCTGTTGAAGAGGAATGGGAATGCTGTGTCCTCATATGATACAAGCAGAAGGGCAAACCAGACAGATTCCCTTTATCAAGCCCTTTTATAAGAGCACCTAACCCCACTCATGAAGGGGTGCCCTCCTGGCCTAATCTCCCTCAAAGGTCCCTCCTCTTAACACCATCACAATGGCAATACCTGAATTTTGGAGGGGACATATTGAAACCACAGCAGATGCTTGGAAATGGTAAGGGTACTATATTCTACAATCTGTGTCCTTAGTAGAAATCAGTCCTTTCTCTAGGTCTTATTGAGCTTGTTCTGATGATCAAATTAAATGAAGTTGACAATCCTGAGTGACATTCTCCTTATCTGTAGGAAAGTTGATGAGCCTCATCCTCTTTATAGAGTCATGTCACTCATGAAGGTTTCTAGAGTCATTAAAAATAAACTTAAAGGCAAGTGGTGGTAAAGAGATCGAATTGTCCTCCTCTTAGTTATAACTATGCCTTGAGAAGTTTTTGTGCTTTGAGGTTTTGAGTTCCAATTCTCCCCATCTATCCAGGTGGCAGGTCTCTGGGCCAGGATTCCTGTCTAAGTAGGAGCATCACTTGTCCACAGGTGCAAGGCCATTGCTGGGTCCCCCCTCTGTTCCATCCACAATGTCTTGCCTTTACTTTCAGTTGCTCCAACATCAGCATGTTTTCTTGCCTTTGGTTTTCAGACGTGCTGGTCTCTCCATCCAGAATGGATCTTCCCCACACATCTCCCTCATGTGTTTCAGGTCTCATCTTCAACCTTACTGGTCAGAGAAACCTTTCCTTACTCTACATGCCAATCCAGGTCTCTTGGTGTTTTCTCTGTATTTTCCTTCAGAGCACTTAATTAGCAGGTTAAAAAGCTTACTCCTGTAGGTTTGTGTTTGAGGTTGTTGCTCCATTTGGGCAGGATCAACTGTGCCTCTCATTCACAGTACATATCTAGATTATTGAATTATGGAGTTTGAAGGATGGCCAACAGAATTAAAACTATTTTTCTTTTCAGAGGCAAATTCTCATAACATATGCATCTCTCTTGGCAAGTTCATTTATGTATGGCAGCTCACTGATTTTCTAAATTATTTTTTTCCAAGTAAACGTGGAAAAATGTTCAAACTCAAAGAAGTTGCAAGAATAAAAGCACTAGAATATTTTTTACTTTTTAACTAATCCATTGATATTACAATTCATACATTAACAACCAGCTATTTGGGATGATTTTGGTTTCCTCCCCAAAAGATGAGGTACATACCAAACATAGGGGAAAACCAGATCATTCAGAGTCAGAAAGGGGAAATATGATTACATATGAGTTTTAAGATCTCAAACCTCCAGAATTTAAAATGTGGAAATGAGCATATGTGAAAGAACTGAATTCATATTTGAGTTCACAAAGGCAATACTTTGCCTCTGAAGAGTCTCATGAGTAATGCACAGACACTGATGCTATCCTAAAATTTTATTGAGAATGCCACATTTATTTGAGGAAGATAGGCTGGCACAGGTCACATACGTTCAAGACATGGAACACTCATTAATACACATAGGAAAATGGCCAAGACTCCTTACCAGCACTCTGCAGGTTTGTTCTGTCTCTCAGGAGCACATCTCCAAGAATTTGTCGGTAAAATATCAGCAGGTGAGTGGAACACATACTTCCAATCAATGTTTCTGGCAGCAGACTAGTACAGAAGGAGAAAATGTATTCACTGAACAATCCCCTACAATCCTACCTACAATGTTTTTCACTGCATATTACTTTAATGAACAGTCCCAAGTTTCACTTCATTATTGGAAAGCACTTTTACAATTGAAAGGAAAATTTCCCTACAACTTGGCCACACTGAATTTCAGATAATGTGTATTCTTAGGTGCCCACACTCAAGTCTTAGCTCTGTATTGCCATTTTGCACTTCCATTTTAACATATACATCCATGCTAAATGTTAAACAAAAAGAAAAGTCACCAAGTACACACTTTGGAAGGAAAGGGACTATTGAGCTACAAGCTTGAACAAAGGCATGTGGCTGCCACACCTGATTGCTGGGTGCAGAGGAAACGGCAGTTCAGACTGTTCATGGGAGGGCACTCAGACCTAGACTGAATCCTGACTTCACTACTCTGCAGCTGTGCAACTGTAGATTAATTATTCTTCTTGGGTTTTCTTTTCCTTATTTGTAGACTGTGAAGAGTAATACCTGAATTTCAGGTTACTAAAAGGATTAAAATGAGGGCCGGATATGGTGACTCACGCCTTTAATCCCAGCTATTCAGGAGACAGAGACTGGGAAGATTGCATTTCTATGCTATCCCAGGAAAAAAATCATGAAGACCCCCATCTCAACAAATAAGTCAGATATGGTGGTACACACTCATAATCCCAGGTACATGGGAGGCTGTAGATAGGAGGATTGGGGTCTGAGGCCAGACATGGGCAAAAATGTGAGCTCCTATCTAAAAAAATAGCTAAAGCAAAAGAGGAGGGGGGCATGGCTCAAGTAGAAAAGCACCTGCCTAGAAAGCCTGAGGTCCTAAGTTCAAACCCCAGTACCACTGGAAAAAAAAAAAAGATTAAAATGAGGTTAAATATGTGCTTAATAGAGTACCTGGTACATAGGAAGGGCTCAAAAACAACAACAATGAAAGTTTAATATTCAAGTTAAGTTTGTATCAGTTTAAAATAGATTATTATGACTTTAAGAGGTGATAGTTCCCATGGTAACCACAAAGAAAATATCTACAGAATATACACAGAAGGAAATGAAGAAGAAATCAAGTATGTCCCTGTAAAGAATCAATTAAACACAAAGGAAAGCAGTCAGGGAGGAAATGAAGGACAAACAAACAAAAAAATCTAAGACATACAGAAAACAAGTAACAAAATGTCAAAAGTAGGGTCTTCTCTATGGGTAGTTACTTCAAATGTAAATAGATTAAAACTCCTCAATTGAAAGATGCAGATTGGCAGAATGGGTAAAACAAAATAAAACAAAAAACAAGATCCAACTATATCCTACCTACAATAGGTTTGCTTTAGAGTCAGGATGATAATAATTCAAAGGTTACAAAAGGCACCTTGTTTTTTTAATAAATTAATCCTTTAGCTTAATTTCTAGAGAATTTAGACAGAAAAATTATCACGGAGGTAATGTTCAGGCTGCTTGTTAGTTGGAAGAGAACAGAATGAATGTGGGCCCTATGCTGGTACAGAAGAGATGGACTCTGGAAATTTAGCCACTCCCTAACACTGCATTTCTAGAAACATTAAAAAATGCGGGACAGGGACTGAGGACATCGCTCAAGTGGTAGAGCACCTGCCTAGCAAGCATGAGGCCCTAAATTCAAATTATATTACCACAAAAAAACACAAAACAAACAAAAAACCACCAAAAAAATACAAAAACCAAAACCCAAATTAAATAAACAAATGAAAAAACAGGACCGGCTCTCTTGCCTGTCATATACACTATTCAGCACACATAGCCAGATACCATTTTTTCCCCCAACCTTGCTAAAAGGTTGATTTTGTATATATCAGACCTAGATTTCAAAGACTGGCTGCAAGAGACCACTGAAGCTGCCTCAATGCCACCATATGCCCTGTCAGGGTTCATGTTATGACCCCTGAGGATTGTTCTGTACCCTGCTTTCTGGTTCAGGGCCCACATGGGCAGTGTTCCAGCTGCATGCCCAATCTCAGGGCTCATGCTGAAGAACCACCATTGATTTTGCCAGGGGAAAAGGTGGAACCTTCCTTCCTTCCATTTGGCTGTCTCCTTTTCTTATAGCCCTGCCCACTCCTTGTCTAGCAGGCTTGGTACTGCCTCAGTGTGGGCACTCCTTTCCTTCTGGCACCTTCCCACTGCATGAGGCAATGCTACAACATTTTTTTCTTTCTTTTTTTTTTTAGTTTTTCTTAGTGAAATTTCCTGATTTTTCCAGATTAGCTGAGTTGAAGTAAAAACACCTTTGTCTAAATTTATATGTAGACCAGCAAACTCTGGTAGCAGAAGAACTATACACATACTGGATGGGCCTCAGGCAAGGAACACTGTCACCTTATTTATTTTTAATGATAAAATGGAAATAAAAAAGAAAAAGATGGATTGCATCAAAAAGGTAATAGAAAATTAATTTAGAGCAAATATATATATATATGTGTATATATATATATACACATATCTCTCTCTCTACTCTACAGACCAATGTTTCTTGGCATTAACTCTGAGAGGGCTGGAGCCATGGCGCAAGTGGTAGAGTGCTAGCCTAGCAAGTTCAAAGCCCTAATTTCAAAACCCTTATTAAAAAAAACAAAAAAGAAGCTCTGAGAGTCTAAGTTCAGAGCTTTCCCTCCTCAGGGCTCAGAAGCACACCTTTGGTCAAATTACATCAAGTTACATCCTTTGGAAAAGAGCTCCAAAATTATAAAAACAAGAGTTGGTGAACCTGAAGCATCTTGCTCCCTGTTAAGAGGACAGGGAAACAGTGATCTCCCTGGTGTAGGACCCTGCTGCGTTCCTGGTAGAGGAGTCTGCCCTGGTTCATTCAAATATTCATAGGTCTCCTGACATCCACAGGACACCCATGTGCAGGACTGCTGCCTGGGTGAGATGGCTGCAGAAAGCAAACCATCCAGGGTCCCTGGAAAAATAAGCACCAGTGTGAACTCTAACCATGGCCCTGCCTCCATTGCTGTGTGCCTGTTGGCATAATAGAAGGAGCCCCTGCTCTTTCTCCCTTGAGCAGAGAAGTGTGGCTGAACAAAGACGAAGGTGGTAAACAGGGACGGTGGGGCTAAAGATGCAGTGTCCTTTGAAGGGAAGGAGAAGGTTGTGGGTGTCATTACCTGGCCTCTTTCCCCAACCTACTGAGGAGGCTAGTGAGGAGAGGGAGGATGCTAGGCTGAATCAGTCCTGCCTTATCCACTTCCAGGGTGCACAGACTCACACCAGTAGTGTCTTAAAGCTCGAATGCCCAGCCTTCACCTTGACTCTACAGTGTAAGCCTCCCACCATGGCCCATGGCACAGCTTCTGTGAGAGCCAGTCTGGGCCTGCAGTCACAGCAGCAGGGAACCCCAGTTCCCACTTGACATTACCAGGAGTGGACATGTCATGATCACACAAAATGGAGCGGCAATTTCCAGACAGTTCTCAAGTCTGTGGACTCTGGGAAGGCAGGAGAGGTCAGGAACAGGGACAGTAGGAGCAAAGCCCCCAAGAAGTAAAGTTTGACACAAGCAGGTAAATCTCTACTTGAAAGTTATTTCATAAATCCTTTTCAGTGTCTATTGCATGCTGCAATCCAAAACAAAAGCCTCAGTCCCCAAGATCTGAAGACCAAGGATTCAGGACTCTTCTCTAGAACCCAGAACATAGAGGAGCTCTTGGCGTCTGCTGAATGGGCTGCCTTCCTGACCTCTGTGCCATGCAGTCCAATTTGATCTTGAGATCAGAAAAAGAAACACCATTAAGAGCCAAAGAAACACCATTAAGAGCAGTCCTTGACAGACATGCGTGGGAGTGCTCTGTAACTCTCAGAGGCCTCCTACCAGATGAGCAGTGGGGTGGCTGAAATAGGAAGAATGAGGCCAGACAGGCTTTGGCTTTTCTCTTACAAAGACTGCTACTGTGCTGCTTCCCACCCCGCCCCCCATCTTGAAAAAGGATCAATTTTCCAAGGAAAGATTGGCCAAAAAAGGGAATTTAGAGGCTCTACGAATATGCAGGAAGGAAAAAATGCCAAGAGTAAGTAATACCCTCGAACACATTATTAATGGTTACTGAAAGATTTAACTATTAATAGCATAATTATAAAATACATGCTGGTATTAGAGATAAGAACAAGGGGTATTTAAACTTAAAGACCACAATCTGGAACAAGGAAAGCCACCATTCAGAGGCATATGTCAAATCTTCTTTCATTTCCCTCCTTTTATTGATTTATGATCAGTGGACAGGTTCTGGGGTTGGGGGTACGGTGGGGAGGAGGGAGGGGCAATCCACTGCATCAGGTTTGGTCCCACACTGTACTCTTCCCTCTGTCTTGTCCCCGAGTACCCTCTGTGGGAGTTTCTTTTCACATACATCTTCCCCGGGCCCCTGTCCCCAGTCCTTCAAAGCCTATTTTGAATCACCCCAATCTTACCAACACATAGCACACCTTCAATTCAAAAATTTTATAATATAACACTATCTACTTAGCATATTTCCATTTATCTTTATGTTAAATAATTATAATAAACAATAATTGCAGCTTGTACTATTGTGTTTTACTGTGCAATGCATTATAAATATGGGCTAAGTGTTTTATATGCTTTCTTCTGTTAAGGTTCATTACAGCTTTATGGGATTGACACTGTTAGCTTGCCCATTTTAAAGAGGTAACACTGAGACCCTGAGAGTGATGGACATCTGACTATAGGTCCCCAAATGAGAAATTGGTAGATCTGGGATTTCACTACTATAAAAGCTCCTGGAAGAAAATGCAAGTAAAAACCAGAAGAAACTGATAATACCAAGTGTTGTCAAGAATATGGAGTAACTGAAACTCTTATACCTTGCCAGTAAGAGCATAAATGGTGCAGTCATTTTGGACGACAGTTTGGCAGTTTCTTATAAAGTTAGATCAATACCAGGTGATCCAGCTACTCCTGGGTATTTCTGCTCAAAGAAATGTAGACATACATCCATACATAAAAACACCATGTGAAATGTTTGAAGCAGCTTTATTCATAATTGGCCCAATCTAGAATCAATCCAAATGTCCATCAACTGGTGAGCAGAGGAACAACTGTGGTGTGTGCATCAAAAGGAAAAGGAACATATTGCTAACACATCCAATAGCACGATGAGTCTCAGTGCATTTTGCCAAGTGAAAGAAGCCAGACTCAAGAGTCTACACCCCACATGATTCCATCTACGATGGTCTGGAAAAGGCAAAACTGTTGGGGAAGAGAACAGATGAGTGGTTGCCTAAAGTTGGGTCAGGGAGCTGACTACAAGTGGATATGAAGGAAACATTCTTTATCTTGACTGTGTTGACTTCATGATCTCGTATGCTTTTTAAAACTCCAAGAACTGTTCACTGAAAAAAGGGTAAATTAAACCTCAATAAACCTGACATTAAAAAAGAAAAGGTTCCCTGAGGATAGGATCATGCATGGTAAGCCTCATTTAATCAAAATGTTAAATTATTTATGATCAAATCTACCACTTGGGCTAACTGGTAAATAGATGTGAATCTAAGCTTTATTACCATTCATTTCCCTACTGATCTTTGGCAGAACAATTACTGATCAGACTAATAACCGATAAAAGGTGACCAAGCTACAAATGCTCTGTTTACTGGAGGAGAAAGAGCAGGTACCGACCTTAGCATGTCTCGTGATCTCCTGTTCAGAGACCTCAGTTTCACTAGAAGTTGAGGCTGCCTTCGCATGTTCATCATCTGATGGAAGACACTGCCCTGTGCTTTAAAATAATCAAAAAAGAAATCATAAGTGCTTGGGATGATGAATTCTGAAACAAGTATTTGCTGAGAATATACCACCAGCTGGTGTTGGCTTGTCTGAAAGGCAGGTACCACAACTGTCTATGGGCCTCTCTGAGGTCATCCTACTGGCCACTGCATTAATGCTTTACAGCATTATTACCGCCAAATTACAACAGGAAAAAGGGAGTTTAGAAAGCATATCTGGATCCAGGTAGAACCACCTGCCTCTCATACCCCAAACTCCTTCCTGTTCCAAAAAGGTGGGAGACTGGCACTGTGGAGGCAGCAGCAGTGGTGAGTGACCTGAATCACCAAACAAGAACAGAGATGGCTGAGGAACACACAGGTGTTCCAAGTCTGTCAGGAGCAGCATGAGGAAAGGACCAGATCTGTCTTATTCTCTACTTCCCCTTTCTCTACCCTGGACAATGACATTAAAAGGCCCTTTTTTGGAGGGCAGCTTGGCATGCACATCACAATGTCAGATGTCTACAGCTTTTGATCTAGCAGTGGACAGTCTCTGAATTAGGCTGTTCAATTCATTCTATAACCATCACAAATATGAGCCCAGTGTTCAGTGAAAAGGAACCAATGCAGGACCCTCATTCTTCATCACTTCCTACATTAGAATCTCACATGTGCTACCAAGAAAAAACAAACACTTAGATAAAAATGATTTAGGTTTAAATGCCAAATGACACATTAAAAAAATGGGAATTTAAGTGACAAATGTTATCCATATTAGAATATGTAGTTTTCTTCTCTAATACATCTTCTATTTGTTTAATCTTTAAGGAAAAGGAAAGTGCTATGGTTTGGATCTAGAGTGTCCCTCAAAGACCCATGTTTTAAAGGCTAGGTCACTAGGCTGTGGAACTATTGGGAGGTGGTAAAGACTTTAGGAGGTGGGGCCTAGTGGGAGAAATTTAGGTCATGCACCCTTGAAGGGGATAATGGGACCCTAACTTCTCCCTCTCTCTGTTTCCTGGCCATAATACGGTGAGGCCTCATCTGCTATATGCTCCTGCCATAAGGTGTTGTCACAGGCCCATAGCAATGGGGCCAAGTGACTATGGACTGAAACTTCTGAAATCATGATCCAAAATAATCCTTTTCTTCTTTCAAAGTTGATTATATCAGATATTTAGTCAGTGACAAGAAGCTGACTAACACAAAAGGCAACATATAAGAGCTGTACCTCTTCTGGATACTGAAGGGTCCACTTCAACACCTTTTTCATAAGGAGTGCCACCATTCAAGAAGAGTTCATAAGTTCTACAAAAGAATAATATACTGTGTTGGATAAACATCATGGGCATTTTGTGAACACTGGAGTCAGTAATGAAATATGTTTTAGTGCAAAGGTATTCACAGGCATTTCATTTCTATTTCATTAGTAAATGAGAATGATAGGTGTTGATCCCTCCATGAGGTACAATTCCCATTGTTTTTGAAATACAAAAGTAACATGTAGATTGTTGTAAAAAGTTTGAATTACATAGAAATAAGTAAAAAGTGAAACATCCCTCCCATCTCTTCCCTCTTATCTTTTTCTATGTCTCTCTCCTCCTCCCTCCATCCCTCTTCCTCTTTGTGGTACTAGAGATTAAAGCAAAGACTTTAACACTGAGCGCCACCCTCATCCCTACATGCCTCTCTTGTAAAGTTCCACACTGTTTAAGTGTAGAAAGTGCAAGTGCACATGCCCCTTTAAACCACTGTATCCCTCTCCAATTGTTTCTCAGAGGTAACCCCCCGGGAAGAGTTTACCTGGACCCACCCACATAGGCTAACAAACAGTTTTTAATGAATAAAAATGGAGTCACAGTACTGATACTATCCTGTGACCTACTTTTTTCATACCATGCACACTGGATTGTTTCTGCATTAATATATAGAGCTCCACTTCACTCAAAAAGTAGCTGTGACTTCACTTTTAGAAAGATGGAATAGATGCATTTTCCTTATTTCTTCTACTAAGTACAACTAAAAACCTTGTATATAGTTTTAAAAAAATCACAAGAAACCTGGGTTTCTACACTCACGGTAATGGGATGCTCCTCCCCCTCCTGCTAGGATGACATCAGACAATGTGTGGTCAGGACTTTCACCTTTCCCCAGTGGTAAGGAGGCCATGTGGAGAGTGTTATCTGAATTAACACTCCCAGTGAGCCTTTGGGATAGGAGTCACCCCAGGTTAAAGATGCAGGACATTCAGGCCTGGAGAGATGAAGAATCACCCAGACACACAGGCAGAGCTGGGACCAGAGCCTGGATGTTATAGTACCAGCCTTAGGGGCTGAGTCACCATCCACACTACTGCCTCCCATCTCTTACCCTGCTGTGAGTTTCTGATTTATATCCTAGCCTTAGATATGTTTCCCTCCATTTTAAAATCCATATTATCTTTTTCTTATTAATTTCTGAGAACTCTTTATATTTTAAATATCTTGAGACTTTCCTGTGTATATCACAAATATTTGCTTCCAGTCTCTTGTTCTTAAAGTTTAAATTTGTTTACAGTGGTTGCTGCTAAAACTTTAATGACAAGCCTACTGAAGAAAGGCAGAGAGTCACAGAGGACCTTGGGTGCAAGCACTTAACTTTCCCTCTCTCTGAAGAGAATCAGGATCTGTTTTCATATGGTGAAATGTGCAGGTACTACAGGAAATTATTGACTGAATATTCTCAGCAGATGGCCAGTGCAAACATCTTTTTAAAAGACCTGTTCTATGTGTGATTCTTCCTTCTAAGATAAGATTGTGAGTGTTGTTTTCATATACTACCTAAACAACACGAAAATCAACATTAAAATCCCTCTCCCCAAGAGCTGGGATGCAGCTCAGTGGGAGAGTGCTTGCCTAGCATGTGAGAGGCCTTGGGTTTGACCCACAACACAAAAAAAAGAAAAGACGAAAAAATGCCTCTTCCTAAGACTAGTTGAAATACTAATAGAATACACTTGTGTTACCTACAACTTCAAAAATGAATTCCTACAAAATTGCTCATTTTAAGGAATATATAGGTCACTTACTTTGTTGGAATAGGAGCGCCACCAGCATCAAACAGCTTAAGAAATACCCAGCCACAACTTAACTCTCCTCTTTCACCAGTGGACTAGGAAAACAAAACAAAACAAAACAAGTATATAAAGCAATGTCTGAATTAGTAAATTTATGAGCAAATCCCAAGTCATTTGGAAGGACTGCAATTAATATTCCCCTTAGGACTAAACAATTCTTCATAAGAAAATAAAATGAAACATAGTAGGGTCCCATTTTACTTGCAGCTCAGATGTTAAAGGTGATACTTCAAGTGACAATCTGTTTTGTCAAAATACTCTTAGAGTCCCTTAAACCTGCTGATGTGGCAGCAGTTGCTTTTATATCTTGAGTGCTATAGACACTGTGTGGACTGATCTCAAGTGACATTGTTACTACATGAAATTACAGAGCTCTGTTGCACTGTGAGATGGAATGCAGGATCAATTATGCAAGGGCCTTTTTGTTCCCAAGTTTCCCCCCACTGCCCATTGCCAGAGGCCACCGGGACTGACTTGATATAACACATCCCAGGGGCTCCCTGTGATGATTCTCTGGGTAACCACTGGGCCAAGTTTATATACCTCTCAAGGGACTAAGAGAACAGGGAGATGCAGTATTACTAGCACAGTCCACACCCACAGGTTCAACAGTTCATATGACATGAATTAAACCAAGTGTCTGGTGTTCCTTTTTATAAATTACCACTCTGCCAGGTCTTTTAATAACTCTCAGTTACAAGGTTAAATGTACTTAGCCTTTGGAAGACAAGAGGTGACCCACCATTGGGCAGAAATTGCTCTGGCACTTTTTATCACTTTCTGCAAAGTCCCAGCCTTTGTGAATTTTCGTTCTTTAAAAGCCTTAGAGTTCAATGTAAGCAAATACCTTTAATTTTAAACGCTGCCGAGAAAGCAGTACTACATAAAAAGTTAGAATCACTGCCATTCTCATTCCTCCTGGGATTAAAAATATATTACACAGAAATCCTTCACTATTTTACTTATAAATACAGACATATTTCTAACCCTTCCCTTTAAATGATACATTAGAAAACTTTCTTTTTCAACTGACATACATTGCGAATATAAGAAATTCCAAGTTCAAATAATATTCCAAGCTCTAGAGATGAAGAATTGGACCTGATAAAACAATCACCATCAAGCAAGCATGGCAAGATGCCAGTAACCTGAAATGACAAAGAAGCCAAAGTTAGCCTGGTGAGGTGGCTCTTATCTGTAGTCCCAGCTTCTCAGAAGGCAGAGATGGAAGGATGATGGTTCAAAGCCAGCATGGACAAAAAGTTCAAGAGACTGCATGTCAACTAATAAAAGCTGGGTGCAGTGGCATGCTCTGCCATCCCAGCTATGTGGGAAGCATAAATAGGAGGGTAGTGATCTAGGCCAACCAGGGCATAAACAGGAGACTCTATTTGAAAAATAAGCCAAAAGGGCTGGGGGTGTGGTTCAAGCAGTAGAGCATTTGCCTAGCAAGCATAAGGCACTGAGATCAAGCCCTAGTACTACCAAAACAACAACAACAACAAAAACCAAAGTTACAGATAAAAATGAAAAGGGAGTTTTACCCCCATCCATTTGTAAATGGCTTATAACTTTGCATTGCAATAGAGGTATTTTTAAAAAAACAAAAAATGAGCGGACTGGATTCATTTATACACACTGATTTTAAATAGAAAACATTAAAATTGTTTGAGTAGTGGCCAATACAAAAAGTACTGTAAGTAGATCCCTAGAGGTATTATAAAACATAGTTTGCATACATTATATTTATATTAACCCGTTGCCTGTAAAGAGAACTAACAGACTGAACATAGACATTTGCTCAGCTTTCCTACCTTGCAAATGTTCCTTTGCTTTTTGCTCATCCCTAGACAACTACATTCCCCTTTCTTGCCTAGAAAATGCTATCCATCCTTCACGGGCTAGTTTCTCTTCTATAAAACCTTCTCTGGGCCTAAGCACTAGAATTAGCTTTACTCTCCTCCAATGCTCTTCCAATGCTCTTGGAGCCCCATAACCATTATACTCTGAGTGGTAGCAACCCACAGTGTCAGTCTAAATATGACAATGCTCATAAGGACCCAGCATATGGTCAAAGTCCCATTAATAGAGAATACTGTTACTTGCAGATGTACTCCTTCTCTACAAATACATAAACACCCATGGACTCAAGAAGGATGTGTAGATAATATGCTTAATTTCATTCAACAAAGTAACATATACTCATTATTTAACCTTCCCAAAAGCTTGTTTTTAGATCCCTGGAAAACATTAGAAAATTCTACCCTGAACGCTTCACAACACAGACTTGCAATGGCAGAACTATGAAGCGCTGCGCCAAAAGACAAGCAGGGTTTCTCGCTGGGAGGAGGGTGCTCAGGAGGGCCAACTGATTTTTGGAGTTGTGCTGTAGATGAGTGAGGACACACACTGCACACAGGGGAGGTGGCTGGGCCTCATGCAGTCTGTGCCCTCATACTGAATCTCCTTCTTTTTTTTTTTTCTATTATTCATATGTGCGTACAAGGCTTGGGTCATTTCTCCCCCCTGCCCCCACCCTCTCCCTTACCACCCACTCCGCCTCCTCCCTCTCCCCCCCACACCCTCAATACCCGGCAGAAACTATTTTGCCCTTATCTCTAATTTTGTTGAAGAGAGAGTATAAGCAATAATAGGAAGGAACAAGGGGTTTTGCTGGTTGAGATAAGGATAGCTATACAGGGAGTTGACTCACATTAATTTCCTGTGCATGTGTGTTACCTTCTATGTTAATTCTTTTTGATCTAACCTTTTCTCTAGTTTCTGGTTTCCTTTTCCTATTGGCCTCAGTTGCTTTTAAGGTATCTGCTTTAGTTTCTCTGCGTTAAGGGCAACAAATGCTAGCTAATTTTTTAGGTGTCTTACCTATCCTCACCCCTCCCTTGTGTGCTCTCACTTTTATCATGTGCTCAAAGTCCAATCCCATTGTTGTGTTTGCCCTTGATCTAATGTCCACATATGAGGGAGAACATACGATTTTTGGTCTTTTGGGCCAGGCTAACCTCACTCAGAATGATGTTCTCCAATTCCATGCATTTACCAGCGAATGATAACATTTCTGAACCTCCTTCTTGCTCTAAGATCTTTTAGGACAATTAAAGGCTTTTAGGGTGCAGTAACATAAGGGAGTTAGTTGTGGGAGGGAAGTAAATACTAAAGTAATGAAACCTGAGGTTAGAAAAAAACCTAAGTAAACCACAGTCAACATTACTATAAGAACATCAAGACACCTTTGATTCACTAACATCTACTGACTCAGTGGTTTGAAACCCTCACCTCATTCCAGTCTTGACAGGACTTGGGTGTAATATACCAGTCCCCAAGGCATCACCTTTGACTTTATCTCAGGCAAACACAACTGTCATTAGCACAGTTGAGAGATATTTCTGGAAACACCTCACTTCCTAAATTTTATCTTGTTTTCATGTTCCTTCAGATGGGTTTTTCTTAAAATCGAAATCCATTGAATGAGATGATTCATAGCAATTATAACTTTGGTGAGTCAGAAACATGAGAAATTTTTATCATCAAAGAACACTAAAGAATCTAAAGATTTAAATCTAGCCCTATATATTCTGTGCTAAGTATGCTATACTTTGATATCCTCATCTTAGATCTTAATTGATTAACACTTAATAGGTAAAAGAAATTCATTTTTTATTCCATTCATTCAGTAGATTACTTGCCTGGGGAGAAAAGGTCCACGTTTTGGGCTTTTTAGGTTGCCAGGTGGCTCTGACTGTGTGAATGTTGCTCAGAACCTGAAATGAGATTTTCCCATTTGAAATCACACTGTAGAAAGTTTTTTTGAAACATCACCACTTCTGTGTCCCAAACAGTTAACAGGAATTATGGTACTAAGTAGGGCAGTTGGGGGGTAGGCTCTCACCTTTTATTTTATGCAATTTGGTAATGTTTGTTTTCCTTTTTATATGAAGTATAGTACGCATCTGACTTCTGAAATCATCAGCGAGAAACAAGTGTTCTAATACTTACTAATAAAATAATGAACAGGTGAAATAAATTCAGACTTGAACACTGTGCCAGTAATAAATTATTTAAGTGTAATACTTAATATCTGAGATAGGTTTACTGGATAAGTAAGTGAATTTTTGCTATAAATGGCCTTTTAAGAGATGTGACCCAGAAAAGCCCTTCATGTGTAGCCCATTAATTACCCTGTGACCAAGACTTAGGCACTGCCATCAGCTCAGATATCCAGTTCATTTTTTTAAAGCTCTCTATGCCAATATGTTAAATCTTTCTACGATTAAATCTTTTATAAAATGCTGTATACAAAAAGGTCATCCTACAATTTATACAAAACAATGAAATATAAAAGAAGCTAAAACTTTTTATAAACAATTCGGATTCTTGTGGAGGAATAAATAATACATAATTTTTATTTTAGATAATATTTTAGTGTAATATCTCTATACCTAAGCTTTAAAAACAATTAAAAATAATCCTAAATGTATCATATTAGGTCAGATTCAGTTAAATGTTCTCCACATCCCTATTAGACAGCATCTAGGAGTGCTTTCTGGGCAGCCAAATTTTGTTCACATAAACAACAATCCTCATTTCCTTCAATAACTAGTGCTGCCAATTTATCTAAAACTTTACCAACATATTGTATACTCTTGGGGTATAAACTCCTTTTAATTACTATCTGGTGACTAATGCAAGACTGCCTTTTAATTGTTCAAAGGGCCCGCTTGATTTCTCAAGGAATATTTTACCTGATACCCAAGAAGTTCTTTGCTATTACAGAACCTGAAATCTCACACTATTCCTGTGTTTATCTTTTCAACGTGGAGAATCTTGATTTTGATGTATAGACCCAGGATAATTTTATATCTTCCTTGCTTCATAGATTCTAAGAGCAAACCATCTCACTATACATTTGAACAAAGTGTAGACAGAGAGGGTGGATGACTGGCTCAGATCATATTACTTTCTGCATAAAACCAGATGCAAGGGATGAAGTACTTAAGGATTCAAAAAAAATGTAGAGATTTCAATCAGCAAACCATTTTAAGGGTGCATTTGAAAAGATACCAAAAAATCTAGTAGGAATCAGAAATGGAAAACAAAACCACAGTGAAATTTCATTTCATATTGAAAATAGTGGTAAAATAACAGCAGGTGGTAGATGGGATGTGGAGAAATGAGGACTGTCATATACTGCCGGTGGCTATAAACTGAAGAGCCCCTCTGGAGAGTAATTACCTAAAACATGAAGGTGTACATATTCCAGCACCCAGCATTCCACTACCATGTATATACACTCTAAAAACCTGTCTTACATAAATGTACAAGAATATTCATTGGAAGACTGCAATAACAAAAATATTCCTTGACAGAATTGTGACATATCTACATAATGAAACATGAAATATCATTCAATGGTTAAAAAGAATGACCAAAAGCAAAATCTACCAACTTGGCTAAATCTCAGAAAAACAACATTGAGGGGGAGAATAAAACTGCAGAAGGATATAAGCTTTTGATATCACTTTTTAAAGTATGAGAGAATTAAAAATTAGGCTATGTAAATAATAAATTTTATTATACTGATTACTTATATAAAGGGAGGGAAAGAATGAGATGGGGGAGAGGTACATTGTGAAATTTGATCATATTCCCAGGGTTTGCTCTTAATAGACTTTTTAGAGAAGTTTTAGTTTTATAGAATTAAGCAGAAAGTACTTATATTTTATTTTTAAAAATCAGAAGTACATTTTGTGAGTTGGTAGGCTTCCATATAATTGGTGATAAAACCACAGGATCTCTTGTGTTATCCCTGCATGTTTCTGTTCATTTGAAATAGTTCATAATTTTTTAAAGATTGATATTTCCAATAAAACTCAGATCTGTATATAAAATAGATAAAAAATAAAAGGAATAAATAGAAATTAGAAAGTAGTAAAGTTCTATGGTAAGAAACATTCTAAGTATTAGATCAGTATTTCTAAGTATTGAGATTAGATATTTGCTCTTAATTATATGGAAAACAGATTTTGATAATTAAGTGTTGTAGTTATTTTTAATGAGTACTTCAGAATTCAATTAATTTTTGAAAGGTGAAACATGTGATGGTGGCTAGTTATGACACATGTTAAACATACCGGGTAAGTTCAAAGACACTTACAGGGAACACTCATCTGCTCATCACCTCAATTCTACCATTAACTTTTT